TCCCTCATTTCTTTCTGACCCCTTCCTTACTTTATCAGTCACAATTCCTTCTAAGACTCTTCCCTCTGAGGCAATCTAATTTATCAGATCATGAATTGACCCTACTGCTTGAAACACAAAAAAAATCCTCCATAGCCTTATACCACCAACCCCTCAAAATAGCCCTAAGGGGGTCTACACAGTCAACCAACACTCCTTAGCTCAGCCATCCATCCTGGCCTCTAACCCATTATCTATACTTTCTTAAACTTTACATTCTCATCCTTACCCACTTCCCCTAGAACACTTGCAGGCTTTCTGTATAAAAACCTGATGCTTGGGGGCCGGGGAGATAGCTCAGTGGAATAGGTGCTTCCCTGGCAAGTGCAAGAGCTTGAGTTTAATCCCTGGTTCCGCAAAAAAAAAAAACACTAAAACCTGATGCTTCTTTCCAATTAGCCCAAGATCTCCAAAAGATTATCAAAGATGTTGTTTCCATTCCCTCTGTGGCCCCCGACCTCTACATCCCTCTCCTATATCTCCCCAATACTCAATACTTTACTGTTTTAGGCCTCAAAGACAACCTCTTTACTATTTCACCTCAGCTCTGATTCCCAAAAACTCTTCATCTTTACCTAGACTCATTCTCTGTTTATCCAATAACTCACATGGACAGTTCTTCCCCAGGGATTTTGTGATGGCCCCAACATGTTTGGCCAAGCATCACAAAAGGATCTCTAATCCCTCAACCTTGCCCTTAGCCACCTACTCTAATATGTTGACCTTTTGCTTTGCAGTCCCTCAAAAAATGATTCAACAACCCACACTATCATCTCCCTTCTTAAATTCTTGGGGGTGAAAGGAATACTGTGTCTCATAATACAAAATCTAGCTGGTACTATAAGAAGTCACTTATCTTGGCCTTCATCTCACCCCTACCCATAGCTTTGTATCCTCTTCCTGAGAAGACTATTAATGATTTTCCTTTCCTCATTACCAAATGAGATCTTTTCTTCTGAGTCTTCTTAGCTCTTTTAGACTTTGGACCCCAAATTTCTCACTTATTTCAAAAGCCTTCTATGAGGCCTTCCATGGAGATCCCAGACCCTAACATCAGTTACTAGGACCCTTATCCCTGAGGCCCAAAAGATTACCCTTTCACCAGCCCCTATGGGTCTTCACACCACCTGACCTTCTCATTGTGTTTTAACCCTTCTCTCCCCAGCCCCAGTTCAAGTACTCTACCCTCAGCTCTTACAACCCTTGGTTCCCTTCTGTGGCTCATCTGTCCCAAGCCCTGTCAACCTCCTCCCAACACTTGAAACTCCAGACTTCACCCTACAACACAAGTGCACTAAGATCCTTGATTTTACGCTCAGTGGTTTTCCATTACATAACCTTAGAACATATTCCAGGGTCCCCTTGACTGGTTTATTGATAGAAATGTTTCAAAGACCACCCCTTTCCAGGCAGGGTATGCCATCACTGAAAGCTATCATAGCCAATCCTCCTATCTTTCTCAAAAAGTAATCGAGGGGCTGGTGAGATGGCTCAGTGGTCTAAAGCACCTACTTAGAACAAGCTAAGCCTAGCAAAGCACAGGGACCTC